CGATAATTCGAATTGGAACAGTTGATGAAGAGGTACTCTGTGGGAATGCCACTATTTAGGTTGCCATTTTTCTCTGCAAGTTGTCTCGCAACAGCGTAAATAAAAAGGAAACAAAAATCAACTTATAAATTCCGATAATTCGAATTGGAACAGTTGATGAAGAGGTATTCTGTGGGAATGCCACTATTTAGGGCGCCATTTTTCTCTGCAAGTTGTCTCGCAACAGCGTAAATAAAAAGGAAATAAAAACCAACTTATAAATTCCAATAATTCGAATTGGAATGTCAGTTGATGGAGAGGTACTCTGTGGAAATGCCAATATTTAAGGCGCTATTTTTCTCTGCAAGTTATCTCGCAACAGTGTTGCGACACAAGTTGTAAGAGGGTTTACACGGTGCAACGGAGACGTAATGGTTGCCGGTTGCCGAAAGTAGAAACGAATTCTACATTTCACAACGATTGCTGCAATTTGCCGACAAATTGCGCTTTAGTTTACAATCTGCAATTCTCCATGCAACTTGTGTCGCAACGCCGTTACCGTGTCATCGCGCCTTAAATCCCATTAATTTTTTTCATTTGCAATAAGCATAGTCAATAAACCCCATAGTCAATAAACCCCATGGTCAATAGACCCCGAAAACTATTTCACTGCCATGTTTTGGACGTTGTAAGTCTACATTGATAAAATACTTGTTCAAAAACTGGTATGGTAACTTTTGAACGAGAATATGTCAAGGAAAACTTTGGTTTTGACAATACGCTTTCAATGAGTCATAMATTTGGAGGTAATGTTTTCCCATTTTATTTCTTTGTTTAAAGGTTGCGCATGAGAAGACATGAATATAGATAAGTGGTGAATACTAATAGCCTACCTTGAGTGGTGATAAATGGAAAGCACCGAAAAAGTTTCTCATGTCTCCTAGAGCAGCCTAGAATAAAATAAGAATTTCAAAATAACAGAGGGTATTCTCGCAATCTGATTGGCTGACAGCTATGATCAATAAGAGGAAAAACGCATAGAATGACGAATCGCTCGCGTACGGAGTCAGCGCGCGATGAAACCGTTTTTCTTTTAAACTTTTTTCCTAGTTTTTAAATGTTAAAAAAAAAACAAAAACGAATCGCTCATAGATTTCCATTATCTGCCCTCTTATTGAACATAGACTGACGTCTCAAAATGTTCAAAGCTTTACCATGAAAAACRCTTACTCACTATGAGCGATTTGTTAACATTACACTGCCAAAATTAGTTAAACGTACTGTTAAACGTACGCAAGCACAGATGGTACATCAAGGAAAACCTATTTTTCTGTTCTTGGGTATTCAAGGCTAAATATATGTTAATTACTGTTCTAAAGTCGGTCCAGATGGGGGAAAACTGTGCTGAAGGTAACAAATGGTGAGTGGTGTGACTTGTATCGCATACAAGTATTTCTGTTTTTCTTGAGTTAATCAAGCGTTCACTAAAAGCATTCAATTCACACAGTTATTATACGATTCAAACTGAACTGTCCGAACCTGTACTGCATGAGCTTCGCCGAGCGTAGCAAGCACTCGTTTCTTGTCTGCTTCATACTCAGTAAGCTGGAAAAGAAGATAAAACGAATGAAGGACAGGAAAGTAAGAGAAGAATGGCTGTTAACAGAGTCTGAGAAAGTGAAAAGAAGATGCTGCCTTCGTAAATGGAAACCTCTATTGAACATTGCAACTTTGAAATTTGTAAATTAACCCCCCCCCCCCCATTTTGTAAATTGCACTGTACTAAAGTAGGTTTTGTTGTATTATGAGTCAAGATGCCGACACCAAAGTCCAAAATGGCACACGGCCGATAGTGTTACATGAAAACAAGGCATCCAGGGCCAAGTGCAAAGAAATGATGAGGTATCAATGCAAGGTATACACTTGTTCACTTGTACTGTCTTTCTTTTCTTACATTCAGGAACGCGACAATTTTGCAGCATCAAATTATAATAAAATACTGTAACTTTGGCCCTGGATGCCTCGTTTTCAACCGGCCGTGCGCCATTTGGGATTTAGGTGTATAGGAAAGATAAGTCCTTATTGGGAAGGGAGGCCTGAGGTATTTTGGTGTGTCTATTTTTGAAAGGATTGTAGATCTCCCCTTTTCAATTCGTTAGAAACAGCTGAAGCTTTTAATAAGTGGGAAAGGAAAATATTTCGTCAAAATAAAAAGGTCTGAACCTCCAAAAACGTAAATATTTTTAGCGATGACCCTCCACTCTGAAGTCCCAGGCCTACCCCGAATTAAAAACGTACCTTCATTTTAGCAATATTTTTCTCGCACTAGTAAATAGAAAAGATTTTGAGATTTTTAATACCTCTTTGCTGCGGTCAATAGTATCGCTTGAGAAGAGTTGCACCAAGGCCATCAAGAACCCCATGTCTACCATCACCTCCATTTCTTGAATGAGTACCATAAAATACCTAAAGGATTACCATCAGGGAACATGTGAATAACATGTGCAAAGCAAGGCAAGTAAGGCAAGCAAGGCAAGCAAGGCAAGCAAGGCAAGCAAGGCAAGCAAGGCAGCAAGCAAGCAAGCAAGCAAGCAAGCAAGCAAGCAAGCAAGCAAGCAAGCAAGCAAGCAAGCAAGCAAGCAATAAAATAAAAGATACCTCGCTATCGATTCCTAGAAGAAGAACCATGAAGAAGAAGAGAACAGACCAAAGAGGAGCGATGGGCATCTCAGCAACAGCTGTTGGGTATGCAATGAATGCAAGGCCTGGACCTGTGAAATATTTAAATGCACTCTTAGATCACGTGAACATTTCCCAAATTATTGGTCTCATGATGCCTGAACTAGCAGCTGATCGGAAAAAGTGACGTGTCATGAAACCTGCAAAAATTGATCAGCGAAAAATAAGACGTTCTCCATTAGAATAAAAATATAAAATTCATGTATTATTCTTGTATAATTGGTAAATCTTCACTCGATTTTTTCACTTAGAGTTTATCATTATTCGTATTTTGTTGTTGTTATTATAATTTAAATTTTTGTGGGGTGCACTTAATTTGGAGCCAAGCTCTGTTGTGCTTACNCAAGGCAAGCAAGGCAAGCAAGCAAGAGAGGTAGAATCTGTCTCTACTTACTTGATCTCAAGAACTTGACTGTGTTCTACTTGTCTCATTAACAGACTCATCTCTATAAACGGCTTGGGTGCTGTTAACAAAGAGGGGTTACTGCTTAAAAAATAACTAGCCCATATGTTCTACCATCACCATTTATGAAGACACTGGGCAGTATCAGTGCAAAAGGAAAATTCGAGTTCGCTTGGCGTTCTGCACCAAGGAGTTTAAAGCAGATTACACTGGGCTAGCAAGCGTGCATTGGTATAAGACTTTAAATTAGCCGAGGTTGAGGGGAAAAATGACATATTTGGCACTCCAAAGCATTGTGGGACTGAACGTTCATGACCATTGTTCGCGCGCATCCTTTCTACGCATGAATTTAGTGCGCACGCGCTCATCGTGATGACGTCATTCTAATGTTTTGATAAGCAAATTCTCATTTTGTATTTCTAATTTTTAACACAAGCTTCAAATGCCAACCAGTTATTTGGTTATTTTCTAGTCTTCTGTGAAAAGTGGGGACGATCAATTTATTTTTTCACTAAAATATGACATTTTTGACAGCTTTCCACGTTTACGTTGTTCGCGCGTTTTTACCATAAAAARGGYGAACTTCTACGTATTCTGACGGCTAAACGAAGTCGGGGACCCCATTTTGTATTTGCTTATTTTACTTCTAGTAAGATTTTCTTTCATTGTGCAAATTTTTAAAAAAATCTATAGATGGGATCTTATGCCCAAGAACGTCCTTAAACAGCCCCACAGTGCATTGCAATGTCAACACGACTCATTTTYCCCCCTCAACCTCGGAATGGCAAATAATGGTCCCGTCTCTCGATAATAATAACATTTATTATCTATAATGTGCAAATTAATCTCTCCACAATTCATCGCCAATATCTAACGTTGGAGGGATTTAAAAGATTGATTTAAATGAGGAGGTAAAGAAACCCTGATTATCAACAACTTGATATACTAACCATTATCAATAGCAATAGATTTAGGGGGTGGTACAGGGTGAAGAACCTTGCGGAAAATAGACCCTGGAACCTGGCTGTCGATCTAAAGCAAAATGTAAATGAAGAATGATTTTGATACGATGTCATTATAAACAAGATAGACGATGATGTGCAAAATAAAGACCATCAGTTTGTTCTGTTGTTTTGTTGTTGTAGAAAGAAAAAAGAAAGAAACGAAGAAAGAAAGAAAGACAGACAGACAGTCAGACAGTCTGACAGAGAAAGAGAGAGAGAGAGGGAGGGAGGGAGGGAGGGAGGGAGAAAGAAAGAAAGAAAGAAAGAAAGAAAAGAAAGAAATAGCAGGAAAAAAAGAAAAGAAAGAAAAGAAAGAAACAGAAGGAAATGAAAAAAATACAGCGGTAGAGCGACAGATAGAAAGACATACGGGAGGGAAAAAAAACGAACAACAAACAAACAAACAAAGAAGATAGATAGACAGACAGACTGACTGACATGATGCCTACAAGTTACCTGGATAGAGTTGACTTTAGTGTGTAGGTCCTGTTCGTGTGGAGATGCCTCATATTTGATTGACACTCCTGGAGAAAATGTTCTCCTGATTGGACGACGCGAAGGACGAACCATCTCCATAAGTTCAAAATCGACCTGAAAAATGACATTAAGGTTAAGTATACATGGCAAGTATCAGTCTTCGCGCAGAGTACGTCTACAAGCCTGTGTTCAGCCATTCTCGTTCCCAGACACTACTGCTTAGCCAAATCGTAGACTCTGGGAAACCCTACTGACTGGAAGCCAGGATCTTGCGAGGGGCCAGATCGGCAGAGCGCATCCTTTATCTCAGGATCGCGGACTTAAAAACGCCGGAGCAAGATTGGAAGATCGATAACCGCTTTTTTCTTAGTTTTTGTTGGTATTTTTGTATATCCTGTTGACCAATCAGAGTTCGTTGCTATGTTATTTTAACAGCCAAACAAATTCCGTAGAATTCCCGGTTTTGCAGAGCATCGGATTTTCGCTATGCAAAGGAGGCTTTGGATACGAGAATGGTGCTCAGCTGAATTTCCTGAAATAAGGTGACGATGTTTAGCAATCCTTCCACTACCATGGCAATTCAATGTCATTTTTGGGCTAACATAAATCTGTGGAATTTTGCAACAAAAGGTCTTAACAAGGCTGGCATGGCGTTTTGAGCACTGTTGTTTTTTTTATCAGCAGGCAGATGCAATTAATAGTCACATTTTTCCTGCCAATAACACCGTGAAGCTTGATAAAGATTTTTCATAATTGCTCAAGTCTCCTTCATCATGGCAGTATCTTGAAACATAAGCCAAGTCCAAAGTAACCAGTTACCTCCATTTATTTAATTCCTCTGTCTTTATAAAGTTCCAATAAAACATGAATAACACATTATCACTGTAATGTATTCCTGTCCCGTAACTTATCGAGTGATACTGAACCCGTGGGTAGTCACGTGATAGTTGTTGGTAATTTTGCGCTAAAAATAGTTACCTCAATATCCCCTATCTTTTGCCTGTAGTGCGGCTCTCCTCCAACAGTTATCACGTGTTGTAATTGAGTCCAGGCCACCTCGATCTGCAGTGAGACACCCAGCTTCAGTCCTTTCCATCGCCCTTTCTTCCTCATTTCTTCCCAAATGATATCACTCCTAAAAGATGCAGTGGTAAAAAATAGGTAACTTAAGTAAATAAAAAGGTAAAGCTCTGTTCTAATTAAGGGACTCTTTACAGGAGGGCTGCATATTAAGGCGCTATTAGTAGCCATGCAGCTTACAATCATGAGTGATTTGTTRGTATGTTAGTATTATGCCTCCAGATTGGRATAGGCTGTTGAACCGGGAGACAATCCCCTACTCTTAACGAAAAATTCAACAGGTTCTTTTATGTCCCAAAAAGGGTTTTTGCAATTTACCCGCAAATTGCGTAAGCCCGTTTTGTTTCATCGCAATACAAAACATAAATTTAAGTCACTACTCTAAATATAGTCTTAACTCACGCTGTGATTCCAATGTACGCTAACTCTGTACTGTTTTCATTGTTGACAAGAGACAGTCCAATACCATGGAGTTGAAGGGCAATACTCTGTGATATGCGCTCGGGTATTTCCTGAAATATCAACCAAGAAACTCATTGTAAAGACTAAACCTTTCTTACCATATCTTTACCGAAGGTTTTAYCCTATTTTGGAAGCGGGTTCTGAAGTCAAAAAGAACTTTATTGGTGTTTGTGTGTGTGGTTCCCATACGAAATCGGAGATTCTTTAAATTAGATACTCTTAATCTAATTACAAAATAAGGAACGTATAATTATTTTGCAATGATTGTTAACTGCATTTGTATTATAATTTAATGTTTTCATTACGTCTGTTTATTACTCTTTTTTGAAAAAATGTTTTTTTTTTGGATTTTACTCTTAAATTTTACTCTTTTTTGATGGAAAAAAAAAAAAAAAAATCTTTGGAGACTAAACCATATGCTAAAACGCGACTCACCAGTTGTGCTCTGTAAGCTAGAGTGAAGTCATCAATAATGAGAAGAACACGCTGAAGTCCATCCAAAAATGTCGCCCAATAGAAGTTTTYCCCTTCCACTTGGAAGGATCCATAACCGACCTAAGAGGAATGGAGCAAGTCAAGACTATAATAAAACCATATGTATAAAACCCTCATACAATCACAGGCACCATCGCCGCGGGACCGCCATGCAGAAAAATAATCAATGTATTTTAACATTGCTATCTCAGAGATCGAACCCTGACACGGCAACCTCTGGGCTGATCTAAGTCAGGGCACGGCTAACTCACAGGTTGAACACTGAAACAACCTCTAGAATGATCTACGTCAGGGCATGGCTAAATCGCAGATCGAACCCTGAAACAACCTCTGGGCTGATCTAAATAAAGGCATGGGTGACTCACAGATGCAATTGGAATAGTGTTGAGAGCAAATCGGAAAAGAAAATAACATTGCACACTAAAATACTCTTGTTAGCTGTTGCCATAGTAACCATTATTTATTAGGGGTACTTTTTGGTTGTTTTTGTTGCTATAGTAACGACAGTACCTCCATTAAGTYAGTTATTCTCTTGATTTTCTCATCTTCTCCTTTAGCGTACCAGACAAATTTCTTTTCGTCTGTCAGTTTGTCCCATGTATATAATATACTGTTTCCAGCTGGAAGTACATGTATTTGGGTGTCTAAACTAGAAACGATGTAAAGCAATATTAGTAATTGGATTTTTGGGGGGTCCTTCCTGAGGATGCTAGAGCGTAAACATGCTGTTAAGGCTTGGCTGCATGGAGCGTGCAACGTAACACTCGTTCTACGAACTTATGTCAGATCCTGCAAATGTTGCTCTACGCGTAATAAATTTCACTTTGTGAACACGACTCGCATTTTTGCTGGTAATAGCGTCATGTTCTAAGCCAATAAAGTGAAAAGACCCTGAACGACCTCCGTCCTAAGGAAGGAGTTGAACTTTTTTTTAATGCCAGAAATTAAATTAGATAGGTTGACTACGGTAACATGAACGGATGCAAGCTACCTTCTTAAAATGAAAACAACAGTTTTACAGCTCTTCTAACAGCCATCGACCAACGAGGTAGTTTTTTACGCGCCATTGTTTCGGGAGGGGGGGGGGGGGTTCAAATTTGAATAACGCTAATGCAACTCAGTCGGAAATGGGAGATTGGTCTAGAATGAGTGAGAAAGGCTCTAACTACGTATTAGCTAAATACCTGTCTTGTTTGTAGTTGATTTCCAAGGCAGTACAGTTTTCGATGCGTACAGGCGCAGCTCCAGCGTAGTAAGGACTGAATGTAATGATAGCAGCAGATTCCTTACTCAGCATCTCGACACACACAGCACCAATCTAAAAAAAAAAAAAAAAGAAAGAAAAAAACGCTTTTATGATAAACTTAAGTATAGACCTACTAATGATCTATCAAAAATCCTGCGCTTTGACTGGCTGATCTACAAGTGGTCTATTAGCGATAGACCACTAGAGCATATGCAGTAAATCCACGAATTCAATTACAAATTGATACAGACAAAAAGCACTATTTAGTACTATCTGATGTCTCGTTCTCACCTCAGGCATTCTCAGGAGGATGGATACGTCTGGTTCAAAGTTAAACCGAGGAGAGTTTTCCATACCTTTACCAACTCTTATCATCAGGTTCTTGGGTGGGACGGATGAAGGCCAGAATGCTGTGCACTAGACATTATGATAATGGAACATTAGGGAAACCAAGAGAAGACTAGATATGCACTGTAATAAAAGTATGCAGCAATACAACATCACCTCTAAAGGAAACTCTAATGCAGCAAACAAGTCTGGGACTGTCACTTGGTGTTATTATGTTAATTACGGTAATTTCTTAGTAAGCTTTCGAGGTGTTCCTAATATTTGGGTCTTCGCAAGGCGAGATTTAACTGTAATTACCCCCCCCCCCCCCTATATTAGAGACCTTTAGCACGCGTTATCGCTAGGTACCCCAAACCTTAAACTTCAGTTCGACGTTAGGCGTTTTCCATAAAACTTTCGACATTTAGCAAGGCGTCATAACGAAGATGTTGATGGAAGAGCCGCCATATTGAATTTCATTGATACTGAGTGTTTCTCCATGTTTGCAGGCGTGTTTCTGGGCCTGATCCCTACCGTTTAGCGGTTTGCGGTAAACCTGTTGATAAAGGTTTCTATCGCCAGAAAAAATCTTAAGTTCTCGGATAGTTATCATTGCAGATTGTAGTGATGAGCAAAACAGAATCCGAAACTCGAGTATTTGGATCTAGTAAGATATCAATAGGGAAGCATGGGTGGCGTAGCGGTGAGAGCGTTCGCCCCTCACCAATGCGACCCGGGTTGGAGTCCCGCTGAGCTCGGTGTCGTATATGAGTAGAGTTGTTTATTGGTTCACTCCTGTGCTTCGAGGGTTTTCCGGGTTCTCCGGCTTTCCTCCCTCCGCAAAAATGAACTCCTAAATTCCAATTGGAATTACAGTGGATGAAGAGCTACTCTGTAGAAATGCCACTGTTAAGTCCCATTTATTATTTTTATTTATCAATAGCAGTACAAGTAATAGCAGTACAAGTAGTAGCAGAAGGAGAAACAACAACTAGAAGATAACGAAAGAGCACATTGGAAGAAAGAACACAGGATATTTTTTCATACCTCTTCAGGATTAACAGTCGTCCAAAGGAGATTATTTTCATCAGGCGCCTCACACAGATAGACTGGAACCTGTAATGAAACAAACACTAATGTTTTTCACTTGCATCATAATATTGATATTATAGTAATTATAGATGTCTGTCTTTCCTTTTAACCTGCCTCGAATAGCCTTAAGCTACTTGAAGGTAAAAGTGTTAGCCTATTAATTGAAAACAATAAATGTTAAATGTCAAATGTTATTAGTGTTACCTAATGGATGAAAATAAAAAACTCTCGCATTTTATCGAACTTTGAAACTCTAATATTGATTTTAGCAAATAAAAATTATGCATCTAATAAGCTGTCTTTAGTATTACTTAATTTCGAGCAAGCCCACGCGTGTCCTCCAATATGGCGGGAAATGCTCACGTGACTCACCTCGAGACGGTTATTGAGAAGATGCAGCGGCGTAAACTCGACGATCTTAGTTAAACTAAAGTACGACAATGAAATCTGAATACCAATCTGTAAAATAGAGGAATATAAAATAATGGTAAGTTGGAGGCAGAAGGAAGCATTTTATATATTATACATTTTACTAAGTATTTCAATTCTGATTATAAAATAACTGCTCGAAATCTCGCGTTCTGATTGGTTGGGAGCGCGTGCTATATGAGAGCACACAGCACCCGCACGCGCACTTTCAGTTTCGTCATTTATGTAATATGTATTTTATAAAAGAAATAACTTGGGGATTGGCAGAACACTCGATTAGTGTCGAAAAGCACTCCGCTACGCGTCGTGCTTCTCCTAACACTTCTCTCGTGTTCTGCAAACCCCCGCGTGCTTTATAACTGCACACAGCACGCGCGCGCGTTTTCTATTTCTTCATTCTTCAATCCCTGATATCGTGTGAACTTGACACGATAAGTGTATTATCTGGAGGTTTTCCTACAGATAATACATTTATCATGTCGAGTTTATTATTATAACACAGCCTCAGTCTTCATAATTTACTATATTATGCTCAACCTCATCCAATAATTGCTTAGTACACACTAACTTCCTTATGTTTTTTCTTGTGCCTTACATATACTGTCAGTTACTAAATATACAAATATATTTCACGGTCCAAGTTTTTTTGTGTATGTGATATCGCCTATAATATGGCACCTATACTTTAAATTTTTTTAAAACCATTTTGCAGTTGAGGGAAAACCTGGGTYGATTTGGCATYGCAGTGCATTGTGGGGCTGTATTCCCCTAAAAATGGACTATAATGCCAACTCGGCCAAGTTTTTTCTTCAACCTCGGAATGGCTATGTAAGGCTGGAAGGCGGTGAAAGTGGGAAAAAGGAATCATGATTGAACATTTGTCTAATAAGCACATACCGAGTTACCTAACTGTGACTATATGTATTTGTTTCCAGCCCTGAAACGAATAACATGCTGGAGTATTTTGTTCGTGAAAAGAGTCTAATATCTCTGTTATGGGATGGACCGCTCTCGGTACGAGCTACGGGATCTTTATTCTACTTTCTCTTCTTCTATACTCTATCTCTACTCTTCTGACTTAAACTAATTACATGAGCTCTATTTATAATAACTTCTCTACAATCAATATGATATTATCGCTGAGTCTTGATTGGCTAATGGAAATAGTAAATTCCTAAGTGTGATATCTTATTTAAGAGTTATACGAGTGAAAATCATAGAACTAAACATAGCTTAAACTAAAGATAATATGTGAATATATGGTAAATGTATAAAAGGTCTACGAGGAATATATATATCATAAGATTTAAAAGAATAGTGCCAAAATAACTAAGCAAAGGGGTAAAGAGTATTTAGGGTGTAACCATAGGTGTACATGCTAATGGGAGGAGCTAAGTGGTTTACTTGTAAATTCAAAGCATACCATCATCTAAACTTGCGTGATGGTAGCCTTACTGAAATCTTATATCGATATTTTCAATGACTAATTGATCGTTCTTTATCTTGTTTTCATACGATAAGAAATAGTAATTAGAAAAACTGATATCTAGCTTAGTCTGTAAAAACATTAATTTTCTCTCTCATAACATCTCATACCTCTACTTCTTTTCCATATCGCTTGATCTTCATGGAGCCACCACTGCCTACAGTATCTAAGGAGAACTTGCTGGACCAGTCTGATTCTGCCAACCTTACCTTGGTCTAGGGATACGAATAAGTAGACCGTTTTGCAATTAGTCAAATACAGCTTGACTATAGCGTAAGAAGATGGAGTAACTCACGGTTTTCTTGCCAAAAAGACTTCCTTTGCCCCTGTAGGAATACATTACAGCATCTTGCTGAGTGGTTGGATGACCAATTGAAAAATCCTCGTCTGATGCCTAGATCGACGAAAAAGACACATCAACATTCGTACACAATCCACACATGGCAAGCCTTACTCACGCCTTGTACCTTACCTTGTACTCAATGAACATTCCTGACACACATCAACATTTGTATATATATCCACATATAGCACGCCTTACACAGCCTTGTACCTTATCTTGTACTCTATGAACGTTCCTGTCACACATCAACATCTGTACACATATCCACACATTGCACGCCTTACACACGCCTTGTACCTTACCTTGTACTCTATGAACATCCCTGTCACACAACATCATCTTTACGCATATCCACACATTGCACGCCTTACACACGACTTTACCTTACCTCGTACTCAATGAACATCCCTGTCACACAACATCAT